CAAAAACTCCAATTCGTTTTTTTCACCAGTTCGAATCTGAGCAAAAGTTGCTTCTTTTTGTGGTACCCAGAATCTCAATTCCACTCCTTTCTTTCTGGGTATAAGAAAAGTCTCTAGATTTTTCACTTTATATCTTTCTCCAATTCGTTTCTGTTCATTGGTTTCTCTGTAGGATTAAAAGGGTTTTGTGTAGCTTTTCGATTACTGTTGTGTGTTGGGTGGAGAGATGGGTTGTTTCTCGTGTTTCGATTCGAGTGACGATGAGAAGTTGAATCTAGTGGAGGAATCAAAGGGTCAGAAACAATCACAACCGACAATATCCAATAACATTTCTGGACTACCTTCAGGTTTGGATTGAAAATCACTGTTTTTTTCATTTGTTTCATTCGTTGTTTACAAGCTCTCAAGATCTGGTAATCTGATCCTGGTTAGGCTTTAACGGGACTTGATCTCATCAATGTTTACTCTGCTTTTATATCAACTTGTTAGGCTTGTTGCGGTATGTTCTGATTCAAGTGTTAGTTTGAGTATCTTGTCGACAGATGAAGGGGAAATGATGATCCTTTGCTTCAATTTCACTTGTTTTGATCTGATTGGGAAAAATTCAACTTTGTCCTTAGTGTAAATTTTTGTCTTGAATGATCAGGATCACATGATCCTTCTGAATCAGAGTCAGGATTTTAGATTTGGTTTATTTAGGGGATTGTGCCCTTAAGACATTGATTGATGCTAGATTTATGGCCTAAGGGTGATTTGTTATTGGAGTTTGGATTGGTAATTAGGGATTAGAAGACTGTTGATGAATTAGTTTTGGTAATTGATTGGTCTTGATGATGTGGCAGGTGGGGAGAAGCCTAGCTCGAAGAACAATGGAGGGTCGAAAAGGGAGCTACTGCTTCCTAGGGATGGGCTTTCTCAAATTGCTGCTCATACATTCGCTTTCCGTGAGCTAGCTGCTGCAACTATGAACTTTCATCCCGACACTTTCTTAGGCGAAGGTGGATTCGGACGTGTCTACAAGGGAAGGCTTGACAGCACTGGTCAGGTAATTTTTTTTGTTTTGTTTGAATTTATGGAACTTGCATCGCATTTCTATTTTTGAAGCTACACACCATTGTTGTTATATATGTCAATGAATTTTGCATACTCGATAAATAGTTTTAACATTTATGTTATCCTGTCCTAAAGGAATACTCTTTCTCCTTTGTTCCCTGCCGGTTGCCGATCAGTTGGTTAGCTTGATGATTTTGCGTACACTAATGATGTTGTACCTCTGATCTACTTTTCTTAATCTTTTTTAGGTTGTTGCTGTTAAACAATTGGATAGGAATGGTCTACAAGGTAACAGAGAATTTCTGGTAGAGGTTCTTATGCTCAGCCTTCTTCATCATCCCAACTTAGTCAATCTTATTGGTTACTGTGCTGATGGAGATCAACGACTCTTGGTCTACGAGTTTATGCCTTTAGGATCATTGGAAGATCACCTTCACGGTAAATCTCCCTCGCCTTTTTTAATCATTTACCATTTTAAACCCCAAAGATTCCTTGTGACCTTAGTCAATATCAACTTAAAGATTCTTTGTGATCTTAGTCAATGTCAACCCTAACTTTAGCAGATTCTTCATTCATTTGTTTATTTATTGCTACCTATATAAAGTATACATGTAGACTTGAGTTGAGAAGTAGTAGTTGCTAGTTTTTTTTTTTTTTTGGCAGCCTCTAACAAATAAATATATTATTTTTTCCTTTTCGCCGTCTCCTCTGCCTCAGATCTTCCACCGGATAAGGAGGCCTTAGATTGGAACATGAGAATGAAGATAGCTGCTGGTGCAGCGAAAGGTTTGGAATTCCTACATGATAAGGCAAACCCTCCGGTTATTTATAGAGATTTCAAGTCGTCGAACATTTTACTAGATGAGGGTTTTCATCCAAAGCTTTCTGATTTTGGGCTTGCTAAACTCGGACCAACCGGAGACAAATCTCATGTCTCCACTAGAGTCATGGGCACTTATGGTTATTGTGCTCCCGAGTACGCAATGACTGGACAGTTGACAGTAAAATCAGATGTCTATAGTTTTGGTGTGGTTTTTCTCGAGCTCATTACTGGTCGTAAAGCAATAGACAGCGAGATGCCTCATGGAGAGCAGAACCTAGTGGCTTGGGTAAATAAATTCATCGTACTCAAAGACACTTGGTTTTTTTGCATTCAATTTTTAATTCTGTTAAGCAGAATAAGTTGACAATTTTTTGGTTTATGCGTTGAACTTTTTGGTGTTAACAGGCTCGCCCATTGTTCAACGACAGGCGAAAGTTCATAAAACTGGCGGATCCTAGGTTAAAGGGGCGGTTTCCAACTCGCGCACTGTACCAAGCTTTAGCCGTGGCTTCAATGTGCATCCAAGAGCAGGCGGCTACACGTCCTCTCATAGCAGATGTGGTCACTGCACTCTCCTATCTTGCAAACCAAGGTTATGATCCAAACAAAGATGACAGTAGGAGAAACCGAGATGAAAGAGGAGGGAAGTTAATAACAAGAAACGATGAAGGAGGTGGCTCGGGAAGTAAATTCGATCTAGAAGGTTCCGAGAAAGAAGATTCGCCAAGAGAGACAGCTCGGATATTGAACCGAGATATCAATAGGGAGCGTGCGGTTGCCGAGGCTAAGATGTGGGGAGAGAGTTTAAGGGAGAAACGAAGACAGAGCGAGCAAGGAACTTCAGAGAGCAACAGCACCGGGTAGTACCGGTTTGGGTCTTAACCTCTTTTTTTTTTGTTCTTATTTCTCAAAACTCTTCATTTATTCTCGAAACATAGAAAACAAAAACAGAAAACATTGAGACTAAGAGTTGATGTACATTATATGTGTTGTTGCAATACGAGCAAAAAAAAAAGGGGTTACGTACTCTTTTTTTAATAACAAAAACTCTAATTAAGAATCTTCGAGATTTTTGTAGTCTTTTGACAAAAAAAGTTTTTGATGAGTCACATGTGGCGATGTTTTACATCTTGATCGATGATTGAATTGCAAAGATCCAATATTAGTGTTTCTAGACTCTTTTTTTTCTCTGTAATTTTGTTGTTGTTGTTTGTGGTGTGTCGAATGTCCACACTCGCGTAGTTTCGGACATCGTGGGTCACATGCCCTCGCAATCTGACAATTATTTTAAAGATAGTTATTGAGATTGTAAGAGATTGTGTTTGGTCTTATCAAAAGTTTTGTCGGGAATTTTTTTTTTTTTTTACTGTTTGACAGTGTACTTACTCTACATTAAAATGGATTTCTTGTTTACTCAATTGATTTCTTGTTGGTCATTGACTTTTTTTTTCCTATGACCTCTGAATATTTGAACTTTCGAAGGATCTATACTTTACTAGAATTTTCTGAAGTTTAGTTTTTTTTTTGTTTGGGTAAGATTTTAACTAAAAAGGAAAATCAGTCAACTAAAAATACTATATGCACCTAATCCATCTATAATTTTAGAAATTAGATAAAACCGGCCAAAAACCGCTAGAATTATTTGTCGAAATTCGCTATAACAAATTTGTCGGATTATGTCGTTACCGTTTAAAAGCTTAGTTGTATAATATATATTTGATATAGTTTTATATAGTTTAATCATGAGATATTAAGTAATTTTTGCAATTTCTTAAAAATATATTGCATATTGCCGCTAATGCTATTTTTTAATGAGCAAATATAAAGTATACATAAGATTGATTGTCACATATTGAGTTATTGATGATGTAATTCAGCTTGGCATTGCACAAAACGTTCCACCGTTTCATATTTACAAATTAGCTTAAAGACATCTTCATCAAAACACTCCGATCCGACGTTTTAGATTTGTTTGTGTCTTTACAAAAAACTGAACGTACACTGATGATCTTTGTACTTCGGTTTGAAATTTCTTTGTAAAG